TTTGTTTGTGTCGGGGGGGGGGGGGGGGGGGGGGGTCCCCATATATAATTGATAGTGTTTTCTTGTACAAGTCTACAACAACTGTGCATAGGGTATATGTCAAGTACAACTTCATAATCAAACAAATTCTGGTACTTGTATGGGTGGGAGGTAGCATGTACCCACCGGAATAGTCGAGGTGGACATAAGCAGGTTCAGACACCACCATCTGTTGGGAGGTAGCAGGTACCAAATGAAATAGTTGAGGTCCACGCAAGTTTGAAGTTCTTGAGCATTTGTATAAGGAATGAATGCTCTTTTTTTCCCTAATTCATTTTGTTTGAGAAGCTGTGATCCAACTTCTTTCGCCTTGAACGACTCCGGTCCTGTTGAATCTGTTAAATGGCTACTCCAAGGTAAAGGAAATTCAAAAAACAAATTGATTTTTTTAAAATCATGGTAAAAAGATCCCTTTTGAGCAAAGTCTTTATGAGAAAAATGTTAGAATACAGTCAAAACTTTATTTTATGATAAAAATGTAAGAATTTGTGTGTAAGCTACTGCAAATATTAAAGAATATTGTAATGAGCAGATATTAAATCCAATTGAACCTTGTTGGAAAAGGTAATTAAAATCGAAATGGGGCCTAAAATAGGTACATTTGCATAAATTAGCCCTCTACATTTCAACCTTTTCACTTTTATAGTTTATAGTCCAACTTGTTATTTTTAAGTATTTTGTTTTTAATAAAATGGGCATATTTGGGCCTTACTCAACAACAGTAAAAAAACATGGAACAATCAAAACACTTATGATGTTAAACGGTTTTAATTTCTAGCTTGCCACGTGTTCCTCTGTTAGCCTTAGAAGCTAATTTTTTTCAAAGCAATGATGATTTTGATATATTTCGCGTAATATAGGACCATTTTATGTGATCAATTTCATAAATCATAATAACATTATTATTATTATTATTATTATTATAATCAGATGGATAATTTTAATATTATTATGCTCTCTCATGTTTTTGCTTGCGATATGTATTAATTAATTGCTCTATTATGCTCTTGCTTTAGTTGGACAAAGATTATGAAATCTTAACTTAGCTAGTGGAGTTGACTAAATATGATTTTTTAGAAATTTTGTCGAAGACAAATCTAGATGATATCTTATTGAAAGGGGCATTTTTATGTTGCATGATTCTTGAATTTATTTTGTAATTATATCATTAGTGGACCAAAAGTTCCATTACGTAGTCTTAATTACCCTTCCTATAACAATTTAACAACCAACTCCAAACTTTAAAGGAGATATTTTAGTCAATCGTTTATTATTTAGGATGATACGCTTATTATTTATGCCAAACGTTATGACTGATAGTAAACTCTATCAAGCAAGTTTCATATTCGATCATTACTCCGATCTGGGTCACCCCAACCTCCTCGTGGGCCTTGTCATAGACAGGATGTTGGTGTTACCAAACAATCTCTCTCCCAACCAGAGGCGAATCTAGGATTTTTCGAACATGGGTGCATCAAGTAAAACGTATTGAAGTGAGAATTGATCCGTAATCCTTAAGGTCAAAAGCTCAACATTTAACCATGTGGACCATTTAGACTTCTTGTAATACGGGTGCAAGAATATAATATTATACAAAATCTTAAAAAATATACATATAAAATATCTAATTTTACGAAAAGACCACGGGTGCGGATGCCCTTTTTTTTGGCTCTAAATTCGCCACTGCTCCCAACACCTGCCTCATGCAACATGTTGCTCTTGGTAATCGAATCCATTATCTTGGCTCTAATACTATTTATCACAAGAACGTTTTTCAAATACTAAACAGGACGAGGTTTATCCCTGCGCGGCAACTAACATCGAGAGTTGGAGATTATTAAGGGTTATTTGGTTATATCATGAAGAATTATATAAGGATATGTTATGAATCAAGATATCCCTTGAATTTAATTAATCACTTTCTATATGGTATATATAGTTAATATTATCATTTTAGTACAAAATATATCTTGGGACTAATTAATGCTCAGAATCAAACGCTGAATAAAATAATCTCTTATTTTATTTCGATATTGTTAACCCTTATACCACCTACAAAAATATCATTAACATTAATTATTTATTATGTGATAGAAGAGACTAGAAAACACCATTTGTAAATTCATTTTTGGTGCTAGGTAGTTGAGGCCCACTACTAGTTTTGACTTTTTTTCTTGAATTTGTTTATATTAATTACCAATTACAATATGGATTTGCAACACTTGACTATATACTGTTCAAGATAAGAGATGATGCTTGAAAAGACAGTAGTGATTAATGAACTAATCAAGTTCAATTCACACTATTTTTTTTTTTCTCTTAATGGGTTAAAATACATAGGCTCCATTATATAAAGGTTAATCAAACTTTAAAATCTTCCATGTCTTGAAACCAACCAGCAAAATTTAATTTTCAATGTCAAATCACCAGTCATATCTAAGGAATTTTTTTCGTGATACTTTTCGCTTGTTCATAAATTAAATTATGTGAATCTTAATAATATTTTAAAAATTATAAATTATTTTTATGGAAGAAGAATTGAGAAAACTTTTATTCCAACTAGGAAAATTATAAATTAACTAGTATAGAGACTACCTTTGAATAGACTTTAGGTGTATTCGATATTGAGGAAAATATTTTTCATAATTTTTTTTATATTCGATTGATAAAAAAAATTGGATAATATTTTTTTAAAAAAAATAAACTCCTTAAAAAAGAAGAAAATGACTTTTTTTTAATGAAAATAGAAAAAACAAGTTTCACAAGTAGATTTCAGGTTAATTGTGTCAGTCTCACATACCCTTCCATGATTATCCACCATTTCCAGCGGTCATTGTATTTGTTAAGATTATAAACAAATGTTTTAAGATAGTATTTCTTACTTACATATCAAATGTAAATAAAAATCTATTCTTTTTATAAATATTTATCGTCGAAGTATTTTCCTTCATACCAAATACACCCTTTGTGTTGGTTAAAGATGGTGCATATCCTTCAATTATAAACTTTTAGATTATTTTTTTTGTTGAATTATGGGGAAGTAGGACCAAAGCCCTATTTAGCATAGTTTTGTTTGTGTTTTGTGATGCATATCCTAAATAACAAAATGTTCAAGAATTTATTTAAATCAAGTTAAAACAAATATATAAAAATAAAAATGTCAATCTTTGAAAGATTCTTTTTTGATGAAAGGAGAAATAATATGGGGTACTTGTCAGGTACTGAAGAAAATAATTAAAAACCAGCTCATATCTACAATTTAATTTCAGCCTTGCATCGTGTCATTAGATAAGTATTGCGATTAAATCAGCTAAAAAAAATGTCCATTAAAAAATAAAAATTATAAGAACTTGTTAAGTAATTCTTAAATGTTTCTACTTATCTGGATGAAAAAATAATTATAGTAAATACTAATATTTCAATTAAAGTATTAAAATGTTGAAGTCCTATTTGATTTGAAATATGATTAGTTGGTCAAGATTATCAATATCAATTATATACATTAATAAAAAGTTGATAAACATTTATGAAATATAAAAATAATATATAGAAATAAAAACGAAATTTACAACACGTCTCATTCCACAAATGTATATTATGGAAAAGAATAATCGAACATAACATAACAATATAAAGGAAAGTATACAAAAAGGACAAGAAAAAAGGTCGGACAATAAAAAGAAAATTTGTACAACTTTATTTTTTGGTTTCCCATCCGTGTCCGATATCACTCAGAATAAAACACTTTTTAATAAAAGTGATTTTATACTCAGAGAATTTAAACTCGAGATCTTTAATTAAGAATATAGAAATTCTTTGTTACACCAACAACAAAAAAAAACAAAAAAATTATATTTGATTTTCATCATCATGTAATATATATCTCAGCAAAATATAATAATAATAAAAAATCCATTGGAGAGCTTCAGGAAAACCCTAAACACCCTTGAGCTTCAAAGTCATCAGACTCGGGATTTGAAATTTATGAGTGCTGAAATTGTCACCGAATTAATAATTAAATATTCATAATAGAAATGTAAAGTCTAAACAAAAAACTATTGAATTTATCTGAATCCGTACCTAATATGTAGCTCCGCTCCAGCCTTAATAACTAAAGCTTCACATAAAAACAGCTCAAGGTTGAATTAGGATCAGGCAAATATAAGCTGCAAATGAAAAAAAGATAAAGATATTAATTAGTGTATAAAACTTAATTAATTAACCAAGAAAATTTCAAGTGTATATTTAACCCTAGCAAGTTAATTAAATCATGCATGACCAATACTATATATGTTTAATTTGTCGAATAAATATTAGGTACTCGGTAAAATAATCGATATGAAAAAAGGTAAGAGGGAGCTCCCTTCAGTCCAAGTACAGGAAGCTCAAGACTCAACTTGTACTCCCGCTTCATTCACTCAGTTGCTGAGGTGGCATTCGACTATCAAGACCTCAACATTTGGATGAATGAGTCGGCAGCAAATTGAACCCTATCGCCCCCCATGTGTGGACCGAAGAAAGCTCTCTTCATATATATATCCAATCAGATAACAATAATTATTACGCCTCAATCAGATACACTTCGTTCCACTTAATACTATAAAAACTTAACCCTATAACACAAGACATTTGCATATTAACTTTTTTTTTTTTTATGTAGATGATATGAGAGAAATATATGCTAAGAGGTAAAGAGGAAATGTGGAGTACTAGCTAGGTGTTAAGCTCATGAGATTTATTAGAAGAAGAAATGGGCTTTATATAAGCAAGGGAAAAGGCAATGACAAGACAAATATATGATGGCTAATTAATTAAAATATTGATAATGTATTTATTATTATTATATATATTATTATATGGAACAAAGTTATTCATATTCTTCATTTTATTTTTTAAATTATTTTTTCTTGGTTGCCTTGCTTAGCTAGCCTTTGTATTGTACACTCCTTCCAATCTTTATTGCATTATGGAAAAGCCCATCACTTCCTTTGCATATGCTTTGCTTTTTATGATTTTAATATTGAAAATATATGCATTAAAATTTACTGTTAAATCTTTTTATAACGATCATTATTTATACTAATATTTCATTATAACAATTTAATTTTTTTTTTTCATGTTATCTATAATAACATTTTGTTATCATAGCAATCAAACAATATCTGAACAAATAATATTGTTATAAAAAAATTTGCCCAATATGGAGCATAGGCAAGAAAATGAAAAATAATGAGAGCATGCACTGACAATTAATCAACCACTTATATCATTTGATGTTGGGAATAGTATTTGTTTATGTGAAGGTGTTAGTCAACCATTTATCACTAATTCCCTCAATTTTTTTCTTTAAATTCTACATAAACTGCATATAATAATTAAGCTTTTATATCTGTTAATGGGAAATTTAGGTCGAATAATAATAGGACATTGACTATGTTATCCTGTACACACACCCAAAGTGTGGACACGTATAGTTAGAGAGGAAGATTGTCCAAATTTTATAAGAAATTTAAGGATCTTATTTCGATTTGATATGAGATTCTTTCGATCAACACCAGTCTCACATCCAAATAGGAATATCCTTTATCTGGAGCTCCACTGTCCATTATAAAAAGGTTGAACTTAATTACCCTTACATACGTTGCATCTCTATGTAAAAGGTTATTTTTACGACTACAACTCATGATGTCCTAGTCATAGGATAACTTTTTTCATATGCCTACTACTGATTAAATTAACCAACTCTGTTGATAACAATGATAGATATAGTATTATATATTAATCCTTAGTTAGCAAAAAGATTAAGCACCTAAGACAAACCACTTTTGATGTACAGAAAAACCCTAAAGATTCCATAATAGACCCTAATTATCTCTTCCTTGATTAGGGCCAATTAGTATAATCCTAGTTTGACAATTACTCTTAGTAGCCTTTTTGTTATGTTCATTCTTGTCTCTATGTGTGACTAGCCTACTCCTTTTATATAGATAACAATAAATTGATCTTATAATTTTTAATTAATATCAAGATTACATGTGTTAGAATGCAATTTTTTTTAATTTGTTTATTAAACTACACATTTTCTTTTAATAGACTCTTTTATTACATTATTGAAATTTCAAATTCGAGATCTAAGAATAGAGAAACTTCTAATAGAATTCTACCTTTTTTTTTTAATATATATATATATAATATAGATTTCACGCAAACTAAATCTATATTAATCAGATCAATAAATATAGAAAGATTATTTTTTTTATGTGTGGTAGTTCATTTCATATAATTGATCACCCTAAATAATGCACCCTGCCACTAGACAAATACCTCCAAAAGCTTGTGCAGTAGGGAGTTTTACACTATATTTAGAATGATACTATTGAAATAGAATTAAATAAATAGAATATTCAATCATTGAAGTTCTTGATAATTTGTGGAGAAAATGCAAGCTATTTGAATTTACATGATCACTCACTCCTTTAATTTAACCTTCTTTTGAAATTAATTGGACTCTTATATTATGTTAGACAAATTCCTTTAAACATATAATTCGAGTTGAGCCTCCAGTACTACGACCCCAAATAGATTGTTCAAGCATTTAGTACCGGATATTGTTTAGAGGTGCGGTGAGATAGATATAGACTTCCACGTCGAAGGGAGATCCAGCGAGATGAACTCTCATATATATAGTCTTGAACGATCTTCTTTATCTTAAGCTAACTTAGAATAGAGTCACATGCTATACCCTATGATGAAAAAAGAACTTTAATAAAGTACACATTTATTCCTGTCAAGCACAATTATTCGAGCTATAAATATATAAATATCAGATTAAAAAATTATATCAGCATTCTGAACCCACATATCTCTGTTGGCCACAATATTTTGAAGTCCAAAGCATATCTTCCTCCCTTCCCCACCATTTGGAAGGGAAAAAAAAGTGGAAATAATTTGGCTTTGTATGAGCCATTTTATAACTATTTAAGTTATATACATTGTTAATATTACTATTACGTTATTAATGAATTTTTAACACGTAATAGTAGTTAGTTACCATTTCGTTATCAATTACTAATATTTATCATAACATTTACAAAAGACATAATGCATAAATATATCATTGAACTTGATTTTATCTAATATTTATGCGTTCTTCAACTTTGAGTATGCACCAGCAGATACACGTAACATGTGTTTGTAGGTCTGATTTTTCTCTCAATTATTTTACTGGTCATATTCTCTCTTTCCCAGTTATCACAACGTTTGTTGACAGAAGACAGACATGAAATGAACAGTGAAAAAAAAGAAACATTTTGCAGGCTAGTTGTAACAAAAGCTAGAAAGATCAAGAAGAAATGCTAACCTGAGTTTTATGGTACAGTAGTGTACTGCTCCATCTTTAATTAGAGATTTTGAATTCGAATTTTGGATATATATTTCTTAACTTTGCCATTTGGAGTTGATATGCCCTTTGTATATGTGAGTCATTTGTATAACAATAAGGTATATATATGTCACTTTCATAACAAGGTCATGTATGTTAGCTCTAAATGACAAAGTTGAGGGGTATATTAGACAGAGGCGGAACTAGGTGAGGTTCATGGGTTCGGACGAACCCAACAGCTTTTCTGTAGACCCTATATTTGTACTAGAAAATTAATTAAATATTTATGTATATTAATTTTTGAACCCCTAATAAAGTTGATTGACGGTTATTATCGAAATTTAGAATCCCAAACTCTTAATCCTCGCTTTGCCTCTAATATTAGGCCCTTTTCCCTAGAAAAAATCTTGTTGGAGTGTCACTCCTGAATGGGTCCTGCGATATGCGATCCAAATTTATTCGAAGCTCTAATATAGGTTTCGAACACTAGGTGAGAAATTTAAAAAAATAAAAATCAAGAAGAAATAAGTTTATGGATTCTTCTATATTTCTGAAGTATGTAATGTACTTTATCTGTTAAATTACAACCGGATATTTTACCTGATGTTTTTACCAGTTTTTATTTATTAATAATAATTTAATTCTGCAACTTTATATATTCTCTGAAATATTTACTGTATTTATTTTTTATTTCTTCTTCATCATCATTATTATAACCTGTTAAATCCAACCATCAATTCAATTGCCAGCAAATTACACAACTGCCCACATGCCATTGTCTTTTTTCTTCTTCTAAGTTTTCATTTAATCAACTCATTATTATTCTTTTTTCTGCATTTTGTGTCATTCTCTAGTGTTTTCTATTTCAAATTTTTAGTTACAACTTAACAACAATTGGAATTGGAAAAATTGGACAATTAGTCACACTTCATGGAAATGGAAATAACCTAGTTTCTTTAGGTGGCTGCGATTAGAATTCGACTAAATTTTAATTCATGTTATAAAAGTTTACATTGAGGTTGTTTTTTTTTACCTAAAAGTATTTTTGTTATTTTCTCGGTTGCAATTTATGTAAATGGTTTTCATGAGTCTTTTCCTATTCTTTTGACTTTAATATTTGAAATTACTTTTAAACATAGAATTAAAATCTTTCTTTGTTATTTTTTGATAGATTTTTCTAGAATCTTTTCAAGTTCTCCAATTTCACTAGGGGTTTGAAAAGTAAGAGAATGTATATTAGAAGTTTATAATTAGGGGTGACAAAATTGATCCATATAAAAGAATTATAGAGAAAATCTTCTCTGTATTTCATTGTGTGTCCAATATTCTGTACAACGTGATATATATAACAAAACAATCGTAATTGCCTATACACTTGCTCCTATTCTATTGGTTCCTGTGTAACAGAATTATTTTATAAAAATAAATGAAAAGTAAAATGTATATCCAAGGAAAGATCTGGAATGTAGGTTTTGCAAATGTTCTCTGTTGATATGTATAACATGATATGATTGAAAAGAAGAGAACCACAGTGAAGAGAGAAAACGAGATTTGAAAAAGAGAAGAATCAAGGATTTAAAACCTTGCTCTGATACCATGAAAGAATTATAGAGAAAATCTTCTTTGTATTTCACTGTGTGTCCAATATTCTGTACAACGTGATATATATAACAAAATAATCGTAACTGCCTATACACTTGCTCCTATTCTATTGGTTCCTGTGTAACAGAATTATTCTACAAAATATAAATGAAAAATAAAAATGTATATCCAAGGAAAGATCTGGAATGTAGGTTTTGCAGATGTTCTTTGTTGATATGTATAACATGGGCCTCCGAGACGTAAAAGCCCAAGGCACAGAAGATTGTAGGCCCAATCTGCTCATAGACCCAAATTAGAATAACAAAAGCAAGTCAAACAGTAGTGGTCCTTATGCATTTGTACCGACAACCTCACCTTTACCTTCATCTTCTTTATATCTATCTAAAACTGAATCACCGAAAATAATGTCGTTAGAAAAATGCTTCTCACCAACACCCCTCCTCAAGTTGGAGGGGGCGGCACGAACACCCAACTTGCCCAAAAGACTTCGGTGAGAAGGACCAGATAAAGGTTTAGTAAAGAGATCCGCAAGCTGGGAAGAA